GAGTGATTAAAATTGACCAGTAATTCACTAGATCACCAGTCTGTTGACATCCCGGACCTGTCGGGGAATCGTCCGATGGACTGGAGATAACAACATAAATTAAAGAATACTACAGTAACAAGAATAAGATGAGCGCGGACGATAAGAAGGTTAAGTTTGAAGCTCCTCAAGAGGAGAAGGAAGGAAAGAAGTATACGACGCCACGAAAGCCCAGATACAGAAAGAAGCAATATCACAATGCAAGCCACAAGAAGAATGATATCCAACCATATACAAGCAAAACGGAAGAAATAAAGGATGATACATTCACCATTGGAAGCAACATGGGAAAGAAATGGATGACAAGTCGTGAAGCGTTCATCAACTATGCCGGAAGAACATACGGAGGGAGTGTAAAGACATCGCTCCATCGCCTAAAGGTCACCATATTGCATGTCAAAGAGCCACAAGCATATACGGATGAAGAGTACAAGAATCTACCGCAAAGACTACAGGATATATGGAAGATGGAATACAAACGGTACTCCGATATGGAAGTAAGAGTACAGGATCAGCTGATCAAAGCGTATGACATTCTATGGGATCAATGTGAACCGGCGCTAAAGAACAAAATCAAATCACAACCCAATTACAGTAACACGATGGAAACATCCAACGTCATCGAACTACTGCAGATGATAGATCATATTTGCAGTTCCAATGATGCAACCAAATACTATGAGCTGCAAAGTTTCTATGCATTAAGAAGACTAATAAACTTCAAGCAAAGGGATGATGTAGACGTTGCGGATTATTACAAGGAATTTGAGATGTTACTGCGAGTAGCCGAACAAAACAGAGTAAACTTCGCAACGGAAGAAAGATGCAATCATGTAGCTGCTACGTTATACCAAGGAAGAAAATATAAAGAGCTGGACAAACACCTACAGCCTGATATCAAGAAGAAAGCGAGGGACCGTTTCATCGCAATCATGTTCATGATGAACTCACACCGGACAAAATATGGCAAGTACAAGGAAGAATGCAGCAACAACTTTGCACAAAAGCAGGACCAATACCCAAAGACATTAACAGATGCCTTGACTGTACTTGAACAGTATCGTTATAACCCTCAAATATATAGCAAACACAGTGATAATAACAACCAACAAAATGTTATCACAACCAACGCCCACAGCTTCTTCCAACAGGAGCGACACACACAACCCACGGAAACAACGATTAATAATGGTGGACAGAAAGAGAGCGATGAGGAAGAACATAGCACTGATAATGCCAGTAATAACTCATCAGTTACATGTTATAATTGCAATAGGAAGGGGCACATATCACCCAACTGTCCATATACCACGAAGGAAAATGGGGAACTAACTGTGAAAGAAGCAAGGCGCAGAAAGGACAGTAATAACAACACTGGGAGTAAAAGGGAGACAATAAGCGAACAGATTAAGGAAGTTGCAAAGGGAACGACAATGGTCATCACAGATGAAATGATTGAGGAATGGAGTGACACACTGACAGCAGATGATTACGGATATCAATTTAACATAAATGCATATAGTGTCCCTATGACAGCACCAAAAGAAATAATTACTGAGGACTTAACGTCGAACACTGAGACAGTATACAACAGGATCGAAGGGAGATTGAATCCGTTCTGGATATTACTTGATAACCAATCCACAGTGCATGTATTCTTCAACACACTATTCCTTAAGAATGTACGGCAAGTGAACAAGGAACTGCACCTATACACGAACTCCGGAAAGGCAATCATCGATGAAATGGGTGAGCTCCCTGGATTCGGAACAGTATGGGTCCACAGGAGTGGAATTGCCAACGTACTGTCATTCCATGGAGTAAAGAACAAAACCAACTACCATATAACGTACGATAGCCGAATCAAGGATGCATTCAATGTGGAGAAGCCAGATGGATCAACAAGGGAGTTCATACCATCAGAGAAGGGACTGTATTACTCAGACTTTTCACCAATGTTCATGACACCCACCAATCAGCCGAAGATTGGAACATCACTGCAGATTGAGACCATCAAGGACAACATAGTAAAATTCTCCAAACAAGACGTCCTGAGAGCAAAAGCAGCCCGGGAATTCCAACACATCGCAGGCCATCTTAGTGAGAGCCAGATGCTCCGTATTGCTCGAAACAACCAGTTAAAGAACAGCCCTATTACACCGCGAGACATTCAACTGATGAGAGCCATTTTCGGTCCAAGCATCCCCGGACTCAAAGGGAAGACAACACGGAGCAAACAAGCCAGCGTTCGACCAGAGGTGATACCGGTCCCAGCACATATTAAGGAGCATTACCAAGACCTAACCTTAGGAATGGACATTATGCACATCAACAAAATCCCGTTTCTAACCACCACATCACGGCACCTGCATTACCACACAGTAACTGCCCTTCCAAACATGCAAATGGCACATATTGTTGATGCAATAACAGCCTTACACCAATTCTACCAGCTACGACGATTCCGGATATCAACCATCCTTGCGGATGGGCAATTCCATCCATGTCAACATCCCCTTGCCACGCTGCAAATCACATTGAACTGTGTGGCACGTGATGAACATGTGCCTGAGATCGAACGGCTTCACCGTACCATAAAAGAAAGATGTCGATGTAACATCCACATGGTACCATTCAAGAAACTACCCAAGCGTCTAACATTAGGACTTGTCCGCAACGTCATCTTCTATCTCAATGCTTTTCCCCATCCGGATGGTATCTCTAATGAGCTTTCACCGTATACTCTTGTCACAGGCAAAGCTGTTGATTACAACTTATACTGCACGATTGCGTTTGGCACATATGCCCAAACCCGTGAGCAAACAGACAACACTATGCGCCCACGCTCTGTAGGAGCTATAGCCATGGGACCAAGCATGAACCACCAAGGAGGAGTTCTATTTTTCAGCCTAAATACTGGTCGCGAACTTGATTGCAGCAAGACTGACTACACTGTCCTCCCTATGCCGACTGAAGTAATCACCAGGATTGAACACATGGCACAGGATGCGCCTGAGGGGGTTCTATTTACAGACCGTACAAACGCCCCATACCCGGATGATGATATGGACTATGCCCACGCAGGCAATCCAGACCCATCCACGATACCAAATCACGCTGAAAATACTACTAATTTGCCACTATTACACGCTAATATGCAAATTACAGGAGTGATTGACAACAACAACAACGGCAACACTAACAATGATAATGAAAACAATGAAGACAATGACATCGAGAACGATGCCGATCAAGCAGACATTGACGCAGACGCCAATGCAGAAGTCGAAGGCGACGACACACAGGCCGACGATACACAACAACAACAACAACAACAACAACAACAACAACAACAACAACAACAACAACCCATCTTAGAAGATGATGAAATTACAGGAGTGGCGGATCCAATCACTGAACCGGAAGCTCCTGATCCAGTCGATGAAGAAGAACATGAACCACGTCGATCAACACGAAACCGTCATACTGGGAGCATGAGAAGACCAATGGATGACCAATTTGAATACCAATACCTCCACAATGCGACAAATGAAGATGATGAGAATGACTCCGGAATACAAAGGCTCACCACCACCAATGAATACGAAAACTATGAAACGACACTAAACTATATTGCACAGATGGAACAGAAAGACACATACATCAATGACATGATACTGATGCAATACAGCCTGAAGGCTGGACTGAAGAAATTTGGAGAAGACGGACGGAAGGCAACAATGAAAGAACTAAAACAAATGCTGACAAGAGAAGTATTCAGTGAGATAGAATACAAGGATATCCCATACGAAGAAAAGAAGAAGGCTCTACCAATACTCCTGTTCCTTACACTAAAAAGAGATGGGATCACCGTAAAAGGGAGAGCATGTGCAGACGGTAGAACACAGAAGCTTTGGACACCCAAACATGAATCAGCCTCACCGACCATAGCAATAGAAGCCCTCTTCTTCACACTGATAATGGATGCAAAGGAAGGCAGAGATGTGGCAACATGTGACCTACCAGGACACTTCCTACAGACGGACATGGAGGGAGAGATACTGTTGCGACTCGATGGACCACTAGCCCTACTGCTGGCAAAGATTGACCGTAAACGATGGCGAAAACACATAAACACGGAGCGTGGACAACCCACGATATACGTTCGATGCGATAAAGCAATATATGGAACAGTCACAGCAGCACTACTATCATATAAGAAACTAATCGGTCATCTAACGGACTGGGGATTTGGGATGAACCCATATGAACCATGCTGTTGGAATAAGATTATCAATGGAAAGCAGTGCACGGTAGTCTTCCATGTAGACGACATGAAGCTAAGCCACGCCGATCCCACGGTTATAACCAACCTAATCAAGCAGTTAGAGTCAGTGTATGCAAAGACAGACCCGATGACAATTGTGAGGGGACATACTCATCAATACCTAGGAATGACGATTGGGTTTGAAACACCAGGGGAAGTGAAGATTACGATGTATGATTACATAAAACGGATGATTGATGAACTACCAAATGATATGAAGGGGACCAGGGCTACAGCAGCACCATTACATCTCTTCAACACGGACTACACAGGAATGGCCAAATTAGACAAGAAAACAAAGGAATTATTCCACTCATTGACAGCACAAACATTATGGCTAGGAAAGCGAGGTCGACCGGATTTACAGCTGGGAACGGCGTTCCTATGCACAAGAGTTAATGAACCAGACATAAATGATTACAAGAAGCTGAGACACCAGCTAATGTACCTACAGAGTACAGCACACTTACCGCTAATACTAAAAGCAAATGGCGAAGGAACATCCCTATATATAGATGGGGCACATGCAGTACACGCCGATATGAAAGGACATGGGGGGGCATACGCAACAATGGGAAAAGGAGCCGTTTATGCCTCATCTACCAAGAGCAAGATAAACACAATTAGTTCAACCGAAACAGAGATGATATCAGTAGGTGAGAAGCTACCAAAGCATCTATGGTTCCGCCAGTTTGCAATCGAGCAATCCGGAGAAGACAACCAAGTACACACGTTATATCAGGACAATAAGAGTGCAATCCTGTTACAAAACAACGGACGACTATCGTGTAGGAAAGGTTCAAAGCATATACATATACGATACTTCTTTATAACAGACCGGATAAAGAATAAAGAAATCAAGGTCAAGTATTGTCCAACAGAGGACATGATAGCTGATTATTTCACTAAACCACTGCAAGGAAAGACGTTCCTGAGGTTCCGAGACATGATCCTTGGGATCAATAAAGATGATTTTGACCTATACAAACAACAATACATCGAAGCGTTAAAGGAGTTCGGCCTGGACAATGATAGCAATGCAGCAATGACGAGGCCGCAGGAGTGTGTTGATAATAACGTTGAACGTGTTGTGGGATAAGGTTAGGGATTACTGTATACCTGATACTACAAAGCGCCCGTCTGAGAAATCCATCAAAGCA